AAAAAACAAAATAACTAAAACTAAGCTTTTTGGCTTTTCAGATATTTTCTGAGGAAAATGCTTTTAACATGTTTGTTTTGAAAGTAGCTGCAGAGTAAACTTGGAGGCTTTTCTGTGGCGTCATTTACATCTTCATAAATTATTTCATAATTATTTCAGGGAAATCAAAGTAATTTTGACTTTTTATTATTTTCCTTTGTAGTATAAATCTTTTATATATGTTGTATAAATAATTGCTGTACCCCACATGTTCTCCAGATGTCAAATTAAAGCCACAAGGATTCCTATTTTCTTTTTGTGTCATATCCTGGTCAGTGCATCCTGTCTCCAGGTTTTCCATCTACAAGGGAGGAGATTTGTTGTTGGCTGTTTTTATTGATGATTCACAGGTTAAACCTGAACTCTGTCAACAAAGAAATCATAGCACCTCAGCGATTCCATTGTAAGTAGTTAAGATGGATATTTTATTAGCCTCTAAATCAGGGATGTCAGACTCATTTTATATTGTGGGCCACATACAGCCCACTTTGATCTTAAGTGGGCCAGACAAGTGAAACTGCCCTCATTGAACTAAATGTGTATATTTTAATATGAAACAAGTTAAGTTTCATGAGTTTGTCTCAGTTTCTTTACATAATTAATGTGTAAAAAGACAGAAAAACATCTGGTAGTACAAACTGTCCTCCATTTATGAAAGACAAGTTTTTTTTAACAAAGAAACTGTACACCCACTATCATAAAAACACGATTTTCTAGTGTAAAATAGGAACTTTTCTGTCATTTAATTGTTTATCTATTGCTTAACTACTTTGGTGTAGTGTGAATGGCAATGCAGATGGACTCTTTATCAACAGAAAAAGCTGCAAAACACATGAAACAGGAGTTAAAAGTTCAGAACGTACAAAATCTAGGTACATTTTCCAAAGCCTTCCAGCAGGTTGGTCTTTGTCCGGCCAGATCTGGTCTTAACTGCATTCAGGATATTATTTTCCAAGAACTTTTCTCCCTATTTTACTTCACAGAATTCAGCGTGCTTCTATTTCTCTGCAGCCTGTTTCAGTGCACCATTAAAGTGGACTGCTGACGAGGTCGCTGATGCATGCAGTGACAGGAGCAGGTAGAACCGAAGCATTAGCACGAACACGTTAATGTGAAATGCTGAACATTTGATTAATTTCACACATTTCTCCACACTCACACTCTCAGAACTGCTGTGAAACATCATTAAACTTGCACCTGAAAGACACACTTCTGTACAACTTTATTGGTTTTCCACTGAGAATGATAAAGATTAGAGAGAGAGTTTTAGAGAAAACTTTGCAGAAAAAAAACAAACTTGCTTTCAGTTTATAGTGGCTACAGAGCTGATGCTTGTTATTGGTCTATTCAGTGTTATCTCTGCATTGTGGGTGAAAACATTGCATTCAGATACAGATTTCAATATCACAAGAGATCCTTATAAGATATATCTCCTTATATATATCTAATCTGTACTTGATGCATATTTAAATGTGAGTATCTGCACTAAATCTCTAAGTTAGTTTCTTTGCAGAAGAAGGCGGTGCAGCATTAGTCAAACCTCAAAGCACTGTACAATTATGTGGACCATCCTTAAAATTCAGACACTTAAAAATCCCCTTTTTCACAGACCACTTCTTCATGTTAAGCAGGCAACATTATTTCATTGGTATCTTGTGACTTGCATAAGTGAACAGAGCATATGATGGGAAGTAGATGCATAGAGATTAGAGAAACAGGCTTGAGGTCTGATTTGAAGGGTCAATCAAAGGCCCGGCTCAAGTACTGTTTCTAATAAGAAAAGGAACAGTTTGTTAACTTGTTAGCTGTATTTTATCAGATGATACGGACATGTAACATAAACTCACAACACAATACAACTCACCTGATAGGGATTCAAAATGTACAATACAAAATAAGCAAAAGATTAATGCAAAAAACCCCGCAAATAGAAGAAGTACACTAACTGCCAATACTCAACTTTAAAAGACCCTCAGAAAACTCGAAGACATAATTCACAAGATCAAGAAAGTCTGGCTCTTTGGAGGCAAATTATCAAGAAGTGAGGGGTGGCTCAAGATGAGCTGGCAAACTGGTAAAGCAATGATAATAATTACATAATTAAACGTTTAATGATCTGCATGGTGTAAAACTGCCGTCGGCAAAAGGATGCCATTTTCAAAATAGCAATCTTGTTACAGTTTCAATTTCAGGATCAAAAACCAGAGACAAGCTAAAGTAAAGAGCACTTTGGAGAGTCTATATTATAATACCCAAGTGTAACAGGGAGCACTCGAGCTATTATAATACAGTACTTCAAATAATACCTATGCAACACAAAGCCTGCCTTGCAAAGTATAATCACTGAACTGAAGCTTAAGTACTGTAGTGTCTCTTTTCTGGTTGCCCCTGGCAGCAGCAAGCAGTGGAGTTAACAGCATGTGTGTGTGTCTATTCAAGGACAGCAGCTTTTATAGTTAATAACTGTCAAGTCACTAACAACAGCTGAGAGTGGATACTGAAGAGACGCTCAGTCATCGTGAAAGCCAGTGCGCTGAAAGAAGACGAGGCTGGAGCTGTCAGGAGGAGAGTTGACACTTCAAGACCACGTGTCGGTGTCAGCCTGACCTGTAGTAAACGTCAATGATTGTGCATTTTTATTACCAGTGATGCACAGCATGGCAATATGCTGATTTACACAAGAATGTGCTGCAACAGTCACGGTCAACCTTTCTCTGCACATGTAAACATGCAGCATGTGGGTTGTAGGATATCCTGGCCCTGCCTGCGAAACACTCCGTCTGCAGTTATTTACTGAAGGCTGAGTGCCAAACTAAAAGTTACTGATTAATCACAAACAATCGTTTAGTTACGATGGAATATTCCAGAATTACCAAAACATGCAGAGAGAGCCAGAAAAACAAACCGGTGGAGACTTGACCTAGTGAACTGAATACTTGTTGTTTTTTAAGCTGTTATACGTGCTGCCAGTTAATCCCATAACATTGCAGATATTGCATTTAAGAAGAATGCATTTATGTGTATCATTACCTTTTTTTTATTATTTAGAAACAGGTAATATGAAAATGTGAGCATTCTCCATTATAAGTAAAACTACTTTTCTAACAAGAATTAAACTCCTCTCGGAGGTTAAGGGCGATACTGAAACGTCATGTTTAGCATGATGACATGGGCACTTTTTTATAGGTCATGTGAGCTGATGTTATCCTGATGAAATCAGCAGTCAGCTGACGTCGGCAATGATAGTATGGAAATCCCCAACAATGACATCGGCATTGTTTTCATAGATAATTATTGCTGATGTCAGCATTATATCTGTGAAGGTTCTCAGTCAT